TGTACTAACTCCTCCAAGCCACAAGGGTGGTATAGCGGTGGGCATGTGACCATGGAACCCACCAACCCTCCCACACACAGTCTCTCCGAAGGATGGCAGCCACCGGAACTGAGCAAGCCTCAAGTATGTTGTGGAGGCATCAACTAAGGAATGAACCTTTGTGAGTCCAGGGTGCTCTCCTTTAGGATGTGGTACGCTGTATAAGCCCCAGATGTGTCATGGTGCTGTGCCCTCTATGGGTACAATTCATCCATCTAAGAACACAAGATGGCAGCAGGAGTGGCCCCTTCCCCATCATTCCCTACACAGGAAAAGGAACAGCTAACGGAGTGAAAGGACAACCCACAGAATGGAAGAAGTGTTTGAAATGTGTTACTGTATCGGTACCAACCCCCACAGGACTGTAAGCATCACGTACTGCAAACATACTAATAAAAAAAAGTCTGGAAAGAAGAAAGGAATTGGAAAAACAGAAACTCCTAGCAGATCAGTAACACTCCTGGGAATGCCTAGGGGATCATGGAGTGTGACTTGGGTGCTGTCTCTGGTCCCTGGCTCATTCCCCTCTAGCACTGTTCCCTTGCTGATTCCTGGTCGCCAGGACCTCAGAAGTTTGCTCCCCCACGTTCTTCCACCATGATGCTTCTGCCTTGGAGCCAGCTGGACAGGAACTGAGTCCCACAAAACCGTGAGCCTGATCAAACCTCTCCTCCTCTAAGCTGTGAGTATCAGGTACAAGGAAGCTGACTAAGGTACCTGATCTGAAACAGAAAGGCAGCAAATAGGAGGGGACAGGAATAGAGAAAGTGATGGGCAGAGGAGGAAGGTGAGCTTCACGTTTAAACAGGACAGCCAGGAAGTCCTTTGTAGGAAGAGATGATGTAAAAGCCAGAGCTGGCTCTGGGGCGATCGATCCAGTGGGAGCCAAGGAGGCCGATGAGCACAGAGCACAGAGTGGAGTGAAGCAGGAAAGGGTCTGAGGTGACATCAGAGAGGCTCCTCAGGTTCCCACAGATCACATGGGCGCTGAAGGCACTGCCAGAACACCAGCTCTAACACTGAGTGAGGTGGGAACGTGGAGAGGCTCTGAGCCAGGGCGAGCTGTGATCTGGCTGGTCTAGTAGGGTCACCCTCCTGCAGCTAAGGTGTCTGAGGTTGTCAGGCAGGGGAGTAAAGGATGGTGTGGCCAGGAGAGTTCAGGGTCATGTGCTCTCAGGACGTCTTTAACACACCACGCTTGGTGATCGGGCAGGAAGCACACAGATGGTGCAGCTGCTTGACGTACAAGCGGTAAACGGCCCGATCTGTTTGAAGAGAAAGTGTTCATTCCGGTGAGGAGACCAGACCCTCCCTCGGCCTCTCGTAAGCAAAGTCTTCAATGGCACCAACAATTAGAAGAAAGTTTCACTTGGGTTGAGAAGTTCACAGCTGTGTTGCAGACCAAGTAACTCAAAACGAGTGAGTTAAATGAGTGAACTGATCTCAAAACAGTAAGAGGGAAGAAAAAAGATGCTTGGTTAGAGAGACAGCATGACGCAGTGATTAACACAACACATATAGGTATCAACCCCCAGGCTGAATGTAACTGCTATCGCAAACATACACTGATTAAAAAATCAGACTCAAGAAAAAAATATGGGTAAACTACCAGGCGTGGTGGGGGCTCCGTGTATTTCCTGCATTTGGAGGATCGAGCCAGGAGGATCCCAAGTTCATGGCCAGCCTGGGCTCCATAGCAAGACCCTGTCTCAACAAAAAAAAAAAAAAGAAAGAAAGAAAGAAAAGACAGAACAAGGCCATGGACGTTGCGGTCACATGGTTAGAACTGGAAAAACATTATGCTAAGTGAATACTAAACCAGGCAGCAGATGACAAATATTACACGATTTTACCCATTTGTGTAAGCTTGAGAGTTGCTTTCAGAGAGGCAGAGGGTAAAACGGTGGTCAGCAGAGGCTGAGGAGGAAAGAGAGGGTGAGAGAAGGAGCTGATAAAGTACCCAATTACAGTGGGGAAGAGTAAGTTCTCAGGCTCTGCAGGACGGTCGGGAAGTGTAGTTCACAGTAACGTGTCACACGTTATAAAGAAAGAAAGAAAAGACAGGAGTTCAACTTTTCCTAACTCAAAGAAATGATAAATGGTTAAGGAGGTGAATGTGACCATTTGACTACTATACACAGTATACACGGATCAAATGATCACAGTCCACTCCACAAATACGGAGAAGTACTGGGTATCAATGTTTTTAAAAGTAAGAGAACACAAGCACAGAGTGTTTGAAGCTCTGCCACTTACAAACCGAGGGACCGTAGGGAGTAACTTACGTAACTTAACCTCTCTGCACCTCGGCTTCCTCATCTATAAAACCATAATTCTAGTGGCCCCCTCTATGGAGTTTTTAAAGGAATCAACCGTGCTGATAGTGCCTGGGAGATGCTGTGTGTTTTCCATTACTAATTTTTTATGCACGTGCAATCAGAGAACACTCATACTGCCACTGAAGCTGAACAAATCAGCATACAGATTTCTGGACACTTATTGCCAAGTTCAATGCCTTTGGTGTCATCTGCATAGTCCAATGTGAACCATGAGTGGATTTTCCTTCTCCCTATGCTTCCTTTCTGTAATGGTTTTTATTAGCTCATAGAAGAGAAACTATGCAGTTTTCAAGCTTGGGTGTCTGATCTATTTCAATTAACACTGGTAAATACTATTGCACCTTTGGTGATGAACGCCCAGCACCTGCTTGTAGCAGTGACTGACTGCAATCAGCCCACATTGGAGCACTCCACTCCCAGCCCCGAGGGTTGCCCACCACTGCCAGGCAGCTCAGAAGGCCCCTGAGGGGATGAACCCTTCTGTCTCCATCACTGTGACCATCTCTGAGTCCTGCAAAGCTATGACACACACTTCTAACTTCCAGATGGCAGTATAAAACTGAAAACAGTTCTGAGTTTTGTCTTTGTCTTAACATTGGATTGTGGACTGGATTTAGGTGACCACGGCTAAGGTAAGGAGAACACGGCCATCACAGTATAGGCGGGGCTCTTCCTTGGCAAGGCACTTCCCCTAGAATGAGCCCAGAGACTGCATTTCCCGCAGGTGCAGCACCGGCCTCAGGAACTGTGTTCAAAGTCCCCTAAAGCTGAGGATCCACTGGTCCAGCAACGTCTTTTTTCCCCTGCTTCAGCCAATAATTTCTACCTAGAGATGGCTGATAAAAGTGGTTCGAGTTTGATTTTTTTTCTAAAGCTGCTCCATAATTATGACAGCAATGGTAACATCTAGCTTTTAACTATGACAGTCTCTGCCTCCAGTACTTTCCTGTCCTTTCTATTCTCCTGCGATGCAGTCCTGAGCACAGTGTGTGAAGAGCCCTAGACATGTAGCTCATTCGTGGGTTTCAGTAACATAACTTGGAAATTACTAATTTGGTTATATCCCTGAGCAAACAGAGCTGACCAGCAGAGATCTTCATGTGCTTCATCCAAGCAAACACGGCAAAACCAACTCTTTAAATCTAAATTTCCTACTTAAAATTAAATTAAATTTCCAAAAAAGCAATTAAAGTTTCAAAAGAAAATTTCTGGGTACTTTTCTCCAAGTACTTGGTGATTATAATAGTGACTGAGTCCTGAAGCCACGATTTTTTTCCTGCCTTTGCCAGACTCCTTTATCAGCCCTTGAATAAGCCAGCAAAGCCACTGTGCCTGCCTTTTGCATCTCTAATCAAACACACGCTGCCACAATAAGATGTTACCTGGGGAGCGCTCGACAGAAAGATAAAGCACTCTCTCAAAAAATGTTATTGTAATCACTTTCCATATTTGGCTGGTTTATGCTGCTGTCACCGAGCTGGGTTTTCTTCTACACATAATAATTCAGCATAACTGGTTGAAGCCTTCCTGTTATTTAATTTCCAATGTAATAAGGTGTCCAATCTCATTCTCTTACAATAACAGCTCTGCGAGAGTGAAATAGTGAACAGTTTAACTGCGCCAGGAGCATACATGTTATAAAGACACAGAATCTCAGACATATGCAAGAGATACTCTCAGAAAGAGTCTTAGACGGGCCTGCGAGTGTCACTTTAAAGGCAAAAGTTTTTAAGTTCAAGGGATAACATAGAAAAGTGAAAAACAGATGCCAGGGGGGCATATTCACTTATCAGGGTGAGAAATAATTATTCAGGCACATAAAAAGCTAATCAAACATATTTTTCACATTTATTTATGTGAGAGATAAAGGACCACTTTACCTCACACATAAGGACTAGAGATTAATTCACCTCTAAAACCCGAGAGGTCTACTACTGCTTCTATAAATTATAGCAAATTAAAATATAACATTCATTCATTCCTGGCAAACTCTCCTGGCAGTAACAGTATATTTTACTTTTAAAATATTTATTTTGTCTTAGACTAAAACCTCATTCACATAATAATGCTGAACATATCCCCATTGCTACCATGTAAATTTCTTGCTTTAAACAATGTAATTTTTTGAAATTACCTATTTGAAACTATCATGCAACTAGTCTTCTCTTTGAAAAATAGTTCATTAGGAATCACTTTGTATTTTATGTAACAAGCTTTAAAATTTTATGTAACAAGCTGTCAACTACAGTGAAAACTAAAGGAAAAACTATTTCAACCCAAAGCATAACTGTATTTTCTCACTACTACTGAATTTACGTGAATACTGTCCCCGGAAATCTTCTGACTCTCCCCCAGACACACCACTGCAATATCGCCACTGTCAGTTAAGTGCTAAACCTGCCGGATAAATGGAATACTTCTCTTGGTATTTTCCTAATTCCACTCAATAATTCTGATGAAACTTTTTTCCCCACTTTTGGCTCTGGAAGAGGCTACAGAAGCCCTCTAATCTGACCCATTCCCTCCTCAGTAAAATAAGGCTTTATAAATACAAGCCAGCCTCACACAGCAGCTCTGTGAGGCTACTCAGAAATCGGCTGCAAGTTTCCGTTCCAACTTTACCTTTGTAAAATCCCCAGCGAATCCCCCACGGCATTCTTCACGCCTTCCTTCCCGGGTTTCAGAATTTTCTCTCTGAAGGTATCAAGTGCTTTAAAAGGCATTTTGAGCGGAGTAGGGGCACCTCCAAGCTGTTACCAGGAGCTCTCAGAAACTGCCATCCTTCCTCGTTTCCAGTGTGGGGAGGGCTTGTTTCCCTTCTTGATGACCACCTCAAAGTCAGTGCCCATGGAGAGAACTACTTAAAATCAAAAAGGAGATGATGCCCAGCCCTGGATCATTCAAGAAGAGACCACTTTCTCCCCTCTCTCTCTGAGGCTGAGGGTTTTCTAGCTGAGCATTCAGCCCCTTGTAAAAGCTACCAGCTCAGCTCAGCAGCAGCCTGTGGCCGCTTCTCAGACAGCCACCAGCAGACTGAGCACAGCCTCTCTCTCTCTCTCTCTTGCCCTGGCTGCAGCTGGAGAAGCTAACGTGGGCTGGAGCCCACGAGGGGCCAGGCCAGCACCAGCATCTGCGGCTGAGCGCCAGCTGCTCCTGCCTCCCTGGCTGCCTGGCCTGTGGCTCTCTGAATGGTGCTTCCCCAGGTAACTTTGTAGCGAGCTGCACACCTGCCCCTCCACTGGCTGCCTGGCTTATTAATGGGCTCTCAGCCAGAGCAGGCGCTCAGAGGGGAGTTTATGAAACATTTACAAGTCCTTGCTTTGCTGAGCTCTGGCCCTGCACGCACGCAGGCTTTTGCCACCACGTCAGGCCTCTCATCCTCTTCACAAGAAACTGGTTCAGCCAGGCACTGGCTTGGATGTGGTCCCCGGGGAACCGCTTGCCACAGAGTAGCCTGATGCACACCCTAGGCCAAGACCATCTAGGACACTGGTTTACTTTTCAACAGAGTGGGCTTGCTCAAAATATGATGGAGATGCCATTAGGACCATGTCCTGGAAGCGATCTCTGTCAGTCCTGAGAACTCCTTGTGTCCTTGAGGTAAACAAAACCCCTTGTCGTGATCCCAAGGCCCCTGTGTGGGACCCAGCTTTGTTTCTCCTCCCCACACCTGAGCTCAGCAAGCTCCTTATTGCTCCTGGGGCTCATTCAGGCTGTTGCCCCATCATCTGGGTCACTTCTGGAGATGTTTAAGTCACGATGAGGCTTATAGACAAGGCAAGGCGTCCCTCCACACATCGCCTGGCCTCTGCTGGCTGGCAATGAGTGACCTGAAAAGCCTGTTGGATGCAGGTTGATGTGTTAAGCTGCTCTCACATTTATGGGCTGCAGGACGAGGCAGGAGGAGGCCTCCATCAGTGATGTCACCAGCAAGACACTGCCTTTATCTACGAGGTCGGGGTTCCCCCCCGGGATATAACCGAAAAACCATATGCTGTAGGCTCTCCCAGGAGCCATTGCCACAGGATTGGTCACTGCTCTCCGCAGGCCGAAGCGGGTCCTTCTCTAAGACCCACTAAGTTATGTCAGAGCTGGACACTCGTAGGCCAAATATTGCTAATATCTACTGGCTTGTTTCTATGCAGTCCAAAGCATGCTTCATATATTACCACACTTTCCAGTGCTGCTTTGCGATTAATAACTTTTTTTTTTTTGTCTTCTTCCTTTTTTATTGGTACCAGGGATCGAACTCACGACTGCCTGCTTGCAAGGCAGGTGCTTATGCCGCTGAGCTAAATCCCCAGCCCCAATAGCTTACTTTCTCCAGTTCTACTTATTGGAAACTGAAGCAGAGAGGTTAAACTTGTCTGAGATCACACAGTTAGTAAGTGACAGAGTCCAACTGCAGATCCAGAAGTCTCTGCTTCTCTCTCTCTCTCTCTCTCTCTCTCTCTCTCTCTCCCCTCATTCTCTCCTTTTCCCTCTCCTCCCTCCACCACTTACCGCTGTAGTGTATTCTACATGTCACGTTATTCACTTATTTTAAGTGGACAGTCTGGCAGTTTGCTGTAAATTACCAAGTGGTATAGCCACCATCATGGAGAAATTTTAGAACATTTCCGCCACCCCAATGACGATTCCTTATTTTACTATAAATCCCCATCTACCGCCCTCTATCCTGCCCCAGATGTCTGCTAGTGTATTTTCTTTCCCTGTATATTTGCCTTTTCTGCCCATTTTTGAGAAATAAAGCCTGTGTTCTATGGTCCCTGGTTTTCACCCAGCATGTAGCAGTAGTTTGATCCTTCCTTTTTTGCTAACGGATACTTCATTGTATGTCCATCTATTGACCTATCGATGGACATTTACGTTATTTCCAATGTCTGGATATTATAAACTGTTATAAATACCTGCATACAAACTGGTGTGACATATGTTTTCATTTTCCCTGAATAAATACTTAGGAGTGGAATTACTGGCTCTTATAGTAGATGTATGGTTAAATTTTTATTTTATTTTAGTCTTTCTGAGACAGGGTCTCAAACAGGCAGTTCTGGCTGGTCTCGAGCTCACTTTGTAGGCCAGGCTGGCCTCGAACTTACAACCATCTTCCTGCCTCAGCCTCCCGAGTGCTGGGATTATAGGCGTGTGCCACAATGCCCAGCTGGTTAACTTTAAAAAAAAAAAAAGATAGTAAAACCCAACAAAACAGAATAAGTCACATCAAAACAAAGCAGTGAAACTGGTACAAAACTTCAAAGTACCATAATAGGAAAACAACAATGGTTACTGATAGAACTGTGGGGGGCGGCGGCTGAAAAGATAAGAAGTATGAAATATAAATGACCTTTTATTTTAAGAATGCAGGAAGAGACCCCCGATCCCCTGGGGCGCGGCATATATATCCCCCCCATCTCGGCGATCTCTTGGTGGAACACATGGAGTGGAGGCATACATGTAGCTTAGGTTAGGGGTGGTACCTGAGGGGCATTAGGGATGCACAGGTATCTCATTGGCACTTGTTTAATTCCTAGGGGTGGGGAAGATAGGAGCCCCTTGGTTTTGCCTCCAAGGCTTTTCTGACTACAGTGTCCTGTCTGGGCCAAAACTCTTTGTTACCATAATATATCTTGTTATCTTCACAACAGTTGTCCATTCCATCAGATATAGCAAAATCAAACCAAAACAAAACAGAAGAAAACCAATCAAAACAGAATTTGAATAAAGCAAGGCAATGAATTGGAATAAAACAAAACAATGAGAACAATATTGGATTTCGGAAACAAGATAGAAGGAAACCTCCCCTAGCTGCTACATTGTTATCATTATCCTCCTGTAGATGCTCAGAGGCTGGCCCCAGGATTGCAAAGTGAAACAAACAGTATAAACATTCAGTTGCTTTTTGTACCTTAGTTGCTGTCAACCCAGCCCATCCTCCAAAGCAGCTGGTTGCTTATGGGGGGATGGAGGGCGGGGTGATTCCCAGCCCACGTGGGTAGGCTCACAGAGGTGCTGACTCTTTTCTTACTGGTTCCCCCATGGCTGGTGCAGCTCACCAGACAGGCTGGCTGGCTGGCTTGTTGGTGGGATCCTCACAGTCCCAGTGGCCAACCCTCAGGAGGTGGGGTCTGACCTCTCTTCCCGCCCGCATGGTCTGCCCAGCTGGTTAAATTTTTTTTTTTTTTCACTTAAGTAACTGAATTTTATTAATGAAAATTTATGTAACGAATTAAAAAATTTTTTTTATTTAAAAGGAAAAAGAGAAAAAAAGCAGAACAAAACAAAACAGTGTAAGGGTACAAGTAATTCAGAACTACAAAAAAAAAAAAAAAAAAAAAACAGCTATCACCAGTTAATAGATTACACGCTATCATCTTAGAAATGGTGTTTCAGGTCACAGGATCAAAGCATACAAAGTGAACATTCAAACAGTGAGACTGCAAATAGTTGTGTTCAGTAATCCAATCAAAAATATTAATATGGTCTTCTGTTTAACACACCTAAACACTCTTGCTGTTGTATCCTTTAGGGCACTTTTTTTCCCTCGCTTTATTACAACAAAATTTATACATTTTGGGTTTTATTGCTCCCTTAGATCTTATTACTTTTTTTTTTTTGGTAAGAGAATAAAATCAAGCATGATAAAACAAAGCTGTCAGTCAAAACCAAGGATAGACATAGTACATGATGTAAAAACACAGTACAAGGTTATCAACAATGGTTACCATAATGCCTCTTAGAGCTTCCTTAAGAAGAATTGTCTATCTCATTAGGTATTATAAAGCTGAACAAAACAGTAGAGAACAAGACCAATAAAACCTAAACGTTGTAAATCTTACAGAACCTTGTAAGAAGCTGCCAAATCAGTTTCCAGAGTGGCTGCACTGCCTCCCATCCCACCAGCAGGATCAAGGCTCTCTTCCTCCACATCCTTCTCTGTATCTGCTGTTTGCCTTTTGCGGCATAACCGTTCAAGTAGGCAAGATAAAGGTATCTCGCTGTAGGTTTAATATACCTTTCCTTCATAATTAATGGCACTGACCATCTTTCCAGGTGCTCATTAGCCATCCAATATCATTTTGGGGTGAAATTTCTATGTAAATATTTTCCACATTTTAAAATGATTTTTGCCTGCTTATTATTGAGATGGATCAGTGTATATCTTTGATGCATGTTCCAGAGATGTCTCACTTTTACCAGAGATGTTTTTTGCAAAAACTTCCCCCTGTCTGCTATTCGTCCTTTAATTTTCTTCATTCTGTGTGTTGAAGTACAACTTTGTCTTACTCACTTTTCTCCTTTTATGAACTGTAATTCTGGTGTATCTGGGACCTCTTTGCCTAACCTGTGGCTGCGAAGGTTTTCTCTGACATGTTCCTCTAAGAAGTTTACTGTTTCCAGCATTTCTAGTTAAGTCTAGAGTCTATTTCAAGTTCGGTTTTATGCACAGTGTGAGACAGATGTCTAAGTTAGCACGTGCTGATCCAGCTGTCTCAGCATATTCTGTTAGAAATGCCATCCTCTCTCCAGTGAATTGTCTTGGCATCTTTGTCAAAAATCAATTAAACAAAAATACAAAGCTTTATTTTGGGGCTTTCAATTCTATTCAATTAATGTATACATCTATTATTAACCCAGGATCACACCATCTTAACTATAGCTATTGAGTAAGTTTTGAAATTGGAAAATGAAAGCCTTAACTCTGATCTTTTTTAAGAAATTGTTTGAGCTGTCCTAGATCTTTTTGCATTTTGCATATAAATTCTAGGAACTATTTATCCATTTCTACAAAAAAAAGTTCCCATCCAGCCCTGTGCTCTTTATTTTCTGATCACCAACCTCACCCACATACCTTCTCAAGGCTCAAAATGCTGAGACCCCAGGAAGCCACACATATAAACACTCGAACAAGTTTTTAACAGGCTCCAAAAGGCTCATTTGTTTGTTAAGACAAATACAATCACAATAACATATAACTAACACCCTGTCGTGTACAGAAAGCCATCTAACCATTGCTCAACCTCATATACTACCTTTAAATTTCTTATCTCTTACAGCACACTGTGGAAGCCTGACCAGGCAGACTGTATCAGTCTCAAATAACCAGTGACTGCTGAGGGGACTAACCATTCCTGCAGTGTGTTTCCCTGGAAACACACTTGGATCATCTACATTTCACAGTAGTAATTAAGATGGTTGATAATAAGATTTCTAGAGTACTTTTAGTCCCAGA